ATAATTAACATAATTTCAACAATATCAATTCTATTTTTAATGTCATATATAACATCAACATATAGAACTTTGAACACAAGTGAATAATTTTGAACACCATCACAGAGTTGATTATGAACACACTATTCCAATAACAAGTTAAGGATTTCCTCCATTTTCTTTGAACCTTAACAATGTCAAGAAAAAGCAAATGTATTTAATAAATTGTACAGGGACATCTAGAAGCTTGATAAAATGCATTATAGTTCAAGAAAATGATGTGTTTTCGTGGGAAAAATGACCACATACTGGAAATCTCTCACTGGAAGTATCAATTTAATTCCTATGTCCATGGTTAAAATATTTGCTTCTTTACTGTTTTCACTCCTTATGTTAGTCTGACAAGAAAGTCTTTAGGAACCACACAAGTAATACAAGAAAGACTCTTCATCTGACTTGCCCTTTACAAAATGTTTACCATTCTGCATTTGTCACATAGGATGACTACAACTCTGTAGGATAGGCCCAGAACATACAACAAGGAACAGCCTTCAGGTAGCACAGAGATATAGTCTGGTTGACCCATGAAAAGCTTGACTGTCTGTGCCCCAGGGAAGGACTCAGGCATGAAGTCAGAGTCAGACATCTGGTACCTGCATTGGCTGCAATTATCTGATGACCTGTAGGACAGTGAGGTCCAGGATGAGGCCATCTCACATAAAACTGAATGAACCCTACTCTCTTCCAGAACACTCCCTGACTCTGAGGTCCTTGTCATAAAAGATAATTCTCTTATTGTCTGAGTTCATGCATATTAGGGTTTCCTTTTCTTCTTAGCACTAAAGATATCATCATTGATAAAATTCACCATTATCTCAAATTAATAAGGTCATTTATTTATGCAAATCATATAGATAACCAAATTGAACATTCTTGATAGTATCTTAACCTAGAATGGCAGTGTTCTAGTATCATGTGTCATTCTTAAATTCATAGAGCATAAAATTCATTTATTTGGCATATGGTAGGAGTGTGTGCAGAATATAATTCTAAACCCAGCCAGATGATCCAGAGAGATTATGTAAATGATAGCTTTGTTGAAATACTATAGCCAATTCCCACCAGTTGTTTCACCTTGTCTCACTAAGCACTTGAATATACACACACATATGCAAGCACAACACTAACACACACACACACACACACACACACACACACACACACATTCCCAAAACTAGTATCATTGCCCAGGATTTCCTGAAAAATATATGATTAGAACTGCAGTTATTTTTAACAATATCAGAGAACAACAAATAATCAAAGTCCCAAATAGACTTAAATCCCAGATAGAATGCATGTGGCCATTGCATGACCTAGTCATTTTATGTAAAGCATTCCTGGCTCCCCCAGAATATTTAAATTTCATTCTACTTTATACAAAAACAAAGCAAAGGACATATCACGGAACAGAAACTATCCTAGCAGTAAGTCTCCACAAAACTGCCTTCATGTCCCTGTTCCTCAGACTGTAGATAAAAGGGTTCATCAACTGAGGTACCACAGAATACATTGCTGAACTCACTGCAGTTTTCTGGGGTGAGGCAGCTACCGCGGAACTAATGTACACCCCAAACCCTGTCCCATAGAACAAGAAGACAACTGAGAGATGAGAGCTACAAGTCGAGAAGGCTTTATACTTTCCTCCTAATGATGGCAACCTCAGGACTGATGACACAATGTGAGTGTAAGAAAACATGATTCCAAACACAGGAACACCACAGAAGATGACAGCTGCCACATATATTACTATGTTATCAACTGAAGTGTCAGAACAAGTGAGCTTGATGATCTGAGGGAGTTCGCAGAAGAAGTGAGGAATCTCCACGACTGAGCTGAAGGACAGCCTTAGGATCATCAGGCTGTGCAGTAGTCCATCCACAATGCTGATGCCCAAGGAGAAGAGACTCAGTAAAACACACAAGCGGGTGCTCATGATGACTGTGTAC